CTATTCAACGAAAGGAGACTGCGACCACACAAAAGGCCACACCATCTTGGTCTTTATACCTTCAATATTACTTTATCTTTGTAATCATGTTTTCGAGACTACCAGTAATCCTCATCGTAAACTGCCAGTTTATTCAGCTTCCTGAGTGAAATACCGTTTTCTGGCGTAGCAACTTGCGAAACGATGACAGTGTGGTCCAGCAAGACATTTGCAGTACTCCCCTTGAAAGTGCGAGACAGCCTGGGTCGCTTAGGGAGATTTAAGAAATAATATTTGCATTTTCCCAAAATGCTATGATAAGACCTGAGAATGCCATTGAGTTTCACTTATTCTTACCTCTCTAAAGGCTATTCCATCCGAACTGTACTGCAGTTTCGGCCTCGCCTAGGTATCACCAGCACCCCCAAGGGGTGAGGCTACCATTCGTCTACATAACAACGTAGATACGAAGAGAAACTTGGTTTCGATGAATCCCCTGAGATAACATTGTTAGGGGGACCTTCATTTCGAATGAAAGTGCATGAAGAAGAGATTCGTTAGTCAATCTCACCCGATGAGGTCGGATGAGAAAGGAAGTCTCGTGGACTGCGTCAACATGAATTTCGTATTAAAGCCAAACGGCTGCAGTACAACGAGTTTCATCCGTCCTCATCTGGTGAGATTGACCAACGAATCTCTTCTTCATGCCCTTTCATTCGAAATGAAGGTCCCCCTAACAATGCATAACAATGGCTATCAGTGGGTCGCAGGCCAGAGGTGAGATTCAAGTAAGTCAGGTCTCATCCAAATCACGTTTATTGTGGGATTAACAAACATGTGTTGTTCCCCACTAATTTCGAGATTGTTTTTTTCGAGACTATCAGTAATTCTTAAAAATGGAACTTGGACACCTTAGGCCACTCAAGGTGATGTAAGGACCAATAGTTGAGTTTTACCACAATCAGATGAGCAGCATTCAGAATTCCATTTCTCGAAAGATATACCGAAAATAAAAAGAGTTATCCTCAGTTTTACCGATTTGAGCTCCCAACCCGCTGCATGGTAGTCGCCCATTTGGCTAAACTTATGTTTATGATGTAAATGGATTAAAGGAATTGAGGTGACCGAAGGTCTCCGCCTATTGTGCTATTAGGCAGAAGCGATCACGACAGATTAAATCACACTTTCGCCTAATTTAGAGAAATTAACTTAGCCCAAATAAGCTTAATTTCAAATTAACCAACTTAGGAATGTATATCTGCTCTGCGAGTAGGGATGTGATGAAGAAAAACTCATCAACTAATAAACTGGGAATCCAAGACTCTTAGAAATTATTCTGAAATTATATTATTTTGGTTATGACGGGTATCCCAATACAATTCTTTTAGCTATCCTAAATCCTTTGATTTTCCTTCGAGAGCTCTTTTCACTTTTACTTTTGAACCCGAAATATTTAACATGCTTGAACGATGGAATGCGATGGTCAGTGATAAGCGGACATTTTGTGCTAGTTAACGAATGGTTTTTAGA